AGAGAGAGAGAGAGAGAGAGAGAGAGAGAGAGAGAGAGAGAGAGAGAGAGAGAGAGAGAGAGAGCAATCAGACTTGCTTTCATTCACACTTATACATGCATGCAAACAGTAGCGCAGCAAACTGGCGACATGCGCCCACTCAGTACTCAGAGAGATGGCAACCCAGATACGAGTTCACTTCCAATGGCTATGGCGATATAGCGCCCATACAACTCTCTGTTTGCATACAGTGGATTACCCTGGATATCCCACACGCGTCTCTCTGAACATTCACACACACACACACACACACTGAACACTAACTACAGCTATGGCGGCCATAGCCGCCTCTACCCTATCGCTATGGCTAAGCTCCTTCTCTCTGCCCACTTCGTCTTCGGGCCCACTGCAGACCTCCTTGGACAAGTCGCTGTGGCAGCGCTTCCGCATGGCTCCCGCAGGAATGAATGAATGGCTGGGCGCTGCCTCTTGATTTATACTTCTGCAGTGCGTTGGCCTGGCCCCTTTCCCTGGCCCGAAGTGCACACAGTCCCATGCGGTACTTGCTTGGGCTGACCAGGACTACCTAGGACTGGGACTGCTGACTCAGCACGGGCAGACTCCACCACTTGCCTTACCACTTGCCCTCTTGCCTCAGCCTAGACGTGGGAAACTTCGAAAGGCCACTGTTCGGACCTTCCGGAAGGCCGTGGACTTGGCCTTTCGACACTGTAGCAGCTGCGACCTTGACCTCTCTGGACTGCAGCGGCTACGACCTTGACCCTTCGGGAAGGCTACAGCTACGACTTCTAGACCTGACTAAGACTCCTACACGACAGGTCTACAGATCGAACTCCTGCGACCTCTGGACCCTACGACAGTCTACCACTGTTACAAATACACAGGTCATGGGTTCAACTCTAGGGGTCCACACAGGTACTGTACACAGGTAAGCTGGGGACTAGGGATCGAGCCCTGGGATCTGCATCAGCTACTGCGAATTGGTGAATACCGTTTCAGAGAGAGAGAGAGAGAGAGAGGGTACTTCCATCGATAGGATGAGCAAAATCGAATGAATCTACCGCTATAACATGGAAATATACACTGCCACACCTTTTTTTTT